TGAACAGGTCAGTATGACGACAAAAAAAGGGAGAAAGCCTAGTTCACACGCATCTGTGTTTACGTACAAAAAATAATGCATAGATAATTTGCAAAGAAGATATCTGCACACAGATAATCGAGAGTTTACTGCAATTTAATCTGGATATGGCCTTATTTACTATCATATTATGCAATTATACATAATAAAACATGGTCAGTGGTTTGAAAACAAGTCTAAAAATTATCTCAATAAAGACTTAAATCAGAAACACAACATTATTCATAAATTATATCACAAAGGATATACAAATTAATAACTCTCTTTTATATGCTTTTCCATCTTTTTTTAGTTTTCTAATGCTTTTTCTATAGTAGACATTTCATGCAAAATATAACAGTGAATATTCTAATAACACCAATTCTGTAATAATAAAATGTATCCCATTATAATATTAACGGTGAATCAGCAGTTAGACTAAACTGATTCTTTGAATTGGACAGATGGCAGATTGCCAGTCTTAGTTTATCAGTCTGTAAATATTCAATGGTAAAATACAATAACTTATCTTAATTCTTAATGTTAAACAAACTACAAAAATATCACAAAAAGAACGAAAGAGAGAATATATAAAACGATGGTACAAAGCGTTGCTCTATATGGAGCAGAAATTTGGCAACTCTCGGAACAACAAAAAATTAAGTTTAGAATAATGGAAATGGATTTCCTAAGAAGAGCGGCTGGAATTTCCAGAAGAGAGAGAGTGAGAAACGAAAGGATTAGAGAAATCACGAGGGTGGATCGAGATATAATAGAGGATATAGAGAAAAGACAACTGATTTGGTACGGACACGTGCAAAGGATGGAGGAGGAAAGGTTACCAAAGAAGACCATGAAATGGCAACCAAAAAAGAGAAGGAAGAGAGGAAGACCGAGACCAGGATGGAACGACAGAATTACAAGAACCATGATAGAGCGGAAACTACATCCGGAAGGATGGGAAAATAGAGAAGAATGGAAGAAAATATTAGGCACCGGAAGACCGAAGTAACGGTCAAGAAACGGAAGAAGAAGAAGACAACGACAAACTACAACTGATGTTATAGCAAAGTACTTTCTACTGAGAAAATGCTAATTTTCACAAATAAATATGTTAGTGTCATCAGGAGGCTCTTACTGTTACTGAAAAGTAATTTAAAAATACACATGATTATTAATACGGTCAACATCCAAGAAAAATTAAAGACAAGAACTGTTTCCTCTCCTGTCTCAAGAAAAATCTGACTTGTAACACGAGTTAATATGTTACCTCCTCATAAAATCTACGGAATGTCACGGTTGAATAGCTGGCACCCCTGTTTTGCATTCAGGATATCACAGGTGAAGTCTCAGCTCGCAGGCTGACCTGAATGAGATTTTTTATCATTTTCCTTAAATAAATAATTTTATTATTTATTTATCCAGTGCTTTACAGTCTGAGCAACTGACAGCACCATTAAACAAACCTAACCTAACCTAACCTAACCTAAGCTAACCTAACCTAACAAACATAACTAATGATTTTGTTGTACTGACATGTGCGAGGTGAGATTGCTTGGTGGTGTCCTTGAGATTGGGCAGGTGGGATGAGAACTGTGAAACAAGCACTGATCGACTCCGCGTTACTGAACGAGCCAGTTTTGCAAATTTGCTCAAACCTGCAGGAAAAAAAAACAAGTACACTATAATTTTTAGACTTGAATTTGAATAAAGCAATTAATTTAAGCAATATATGAATGAATATAAATCCCTGAGATGAGCAAACTACATTTTTTGAAGATACAAATATGATTACTCACAAATAAAATTATTATACTACTACATTTAATTACACGGATAATACTTTCACTTACTTTCCTTCAGCCAAATTACTTATAGAAATTTGTTGTTTGATCAGCCATGTCAACGCTACATTAAAAACCAGACACTAATTCTCCCTACACAAGCGCTGGTTATCATCCCTTGCTACGTCAGACCAGTCCCTTGTACGTAACACATCGCTGCAAATGGTAAACGGCGCCATATAAGCTGTAACTGAGGACATGCCGACACTAACGGGATTAACATCTTGGACGTGTTCAGAATAAGTGCTATTGCCGCGCATGAGAGGATGATCCCATCGGATAAATTCACTTTTACAAAAAGTAATTTCGCTGGATGGATGCCTGTCAGTTGAACCCAGTAGGGTGTGGATTTCTTTGTCTTATGGCTCCTGAAATGTTGGAATAATAATAACTTCAGCTGAAGCCCTCCATGTATGGCGTACTGAAACCGTGCCTCTTTCAAATTATTTTCTGGTAGTTTTCTTACAACAGCGGAGTAGCACAGAACCCCTCCGTCAGGGTAGCCAAGAAGTTGGAAACCATTCGTATTGACTTGGATGCCTTTTTTAGGGGCAGTCTCAACTGGCCTGCTGAGAATCACCTCGCCGAGAAAAGCATTCCCGTCATCACCCAACCACCATACTCTCCGGATCTCGCTCCAAGTGACTTCTGGCTGTTCCCTACTCTGAAAATAGGCCTCAAGGCGGCGCGTTTCGCAACCATGGAGGACATTAAATGGAATGCGACGGCCGAACTCCGGAAGATTCCAAACGTAGCCTTCCACCGGTGCTTCCAACAATGGCAGGATCGATGGAGCAAGTGTGTGTGTGCGCGCAAAGGTCCTACTTTGAAGGTGATAAGGTCAGCGTTTCCATATGTCCTACCATTACAGTGCTATACCACAATTCCGAGAACTTTTTGACTGCCTCTCGAAGTTCTTCTGTGCTAACACGCAAGGTGAGATCGGTTGGTAATGTCTTGAGAGTGGGCACGTAGGATGACAGCTGTGGCAGCAGACGCATTCCCTCGAGCGTTGGGCCCATTCAGTAAACTGGCTACATTCATGAGAAAGCTGTCCCAGTTATTCTGTTACGATTAAACATTAATATATTACGCGAGCTGAAATGTTTAAAGACCAATGAAAAATAGGAAGTGACCTGTACCTCCTTTGTTGTCGTCTGACTCGATGGGCTGCTTCAGTGCTGTTATATCTCTGAATGTCAGGAGGAACAGCACGACCAGGTCTCGCTCGTTCTTTATGGGCGCTATCTGTAGCAGAAGCCATAGCGGTGTCTCTGCACACAAAGAAACAGCCTTTATAAGCATCTCCAGTAATTCACACAACCTCATATCTTCACAGGCTGCAGAAGAAAGTTAAAAAAAGAAAATAATAAATTACACAGACTTTCATAAAGTCTCAATAGATGAAGTCGAGTGTCATGATTAGTGGAAATGATCATAAAACAAAAATTCTTGCATGAGGTCATAACCTCATTTATTTTAATTCCGCTACAATCAAATTAACTACACGAGAGCAAAGTCTTCCTTCAGAAGCTTCCGATGATTCAGTTAATCACAGGAACGTTACTTGGTGAAAAATACTCATCGTGAGGCTGTAATTTGAACCTCGTTCAAGTTATTCTGATGGGTGATTTCAACACCCCTTGTTTTGACTGGAAGCGTGGACACTTGCCATTATTACCCCAAACTCAAGGGAGATGCCATCTACACCTCCATGTGTATTCTTGACCTCAGACGACAAATTGATACTGTTGGCAGCAGTGGTCTCCTAGACTTAGTATTTATGAACTATAGTAAATTATGTATTAATTTTATTGACTCTGGTATTGTAAGGCCTGATGCTTGTAACTCTCCTTTATATATTGGTGTCTTCCTGCCCTTTGAGAGTACTACACACCCAAATCTTTATATAAGAGGAGGCACTGCATTGATACGATGTCCCTTATCCAAGTTTACCGTGGTTTGAAATATTGTCCTTCCCTTCTGGGAACTGTAAGTCTTTGATTTCGTTCCTAATCAGAGACTTTTCTAAGTTTAGGTACAGCCCTTCAATCAAAGACTGTCCTTCTGCTAGATGCGCGTCAACTGTTAATGCTGTCTGCAGGAACTTCGATATATTCGAAATAAAAAATTGTTTTCATTAATCATATTCTATAATAACTGCTATACAATCTGTATATTAGATATTACTTATATTCGATATAAAGTCATATAATTTTTTCCCCTTCTCATCTCCTCCACACAGCACTGATTAACAATGTGCTGTCGTCCTAATTATATAAATTCCCCGAATTTGTATCTCATTTGTTCTTCTCCTTTCAACATAATTCACTCAATTTCATTACATTATTATTAAAAAGATATTAATACATATTCAGCAAAAGGTTGCCTTTATGCATTAATGTCCTCTACAATCACGAAATTTTTTGATAAGCTGTTTCTTATTTTGCTGTATTTATTATTGCGTTCTTCTCTTGCGCTGCATCTGTAATTGGCCATCTGCCTGTTGATACTGCATCCTAAAAATAAAGAACTGAATTGAATTAATAACTAAGATTGTATTATTTTATTGTAAAACCACGAGTAATAATTTTAATTAAAAATTTTGTAATAATTTTATTTTAAATTCCCAATGTGTTATATATCTTAAAGTTCTGTTGGACTGTTGGCAAATTTCTATTTTTTTCTTCATCAAATTCGACGTACATAACCAAAAGTCTGTCTTCAAGGCAAGCTTGTAATGGAGCCGGGTCCATTCACTTCAGGGCGGTACAGTTGGTTTTGAAAATATGACCTGCTTGTGGTTGCGATCAGGATAGTCACGTGATCCGAGGTCCTTGACAGTCAATATATCAAGGACGTCAAAGGTAGCATTGTGTGTGTAAAGAGGTGTGGTTGCGGAGTGTTATTATCTGTTGGTGTAATCACACGTGATGCTGAAGACCAGACTGGCAGAACACGATGATGTGTGCCTCCTATCCGTGTCCCCAGTCGTGGACTGTACCTTCCGCAAACACCATCGTTTTTTATTCCAGCATGGCTTTGTGATACGCCGCACTGCTATATCATCAACATTCCCATTAAGTTCACTTTGGAAAAGCCGCTTCTCGCACATTGTACTTAATGCAAACACGATTGTTTGCACCACGTTTAACTACTCACCTGCAGCAATTGCCTCCGCCTTTTAGATGACAGACGTCCCAAATACGCGTCCCGGCAACATCTACGTGAGTAATTACAGCTGCTGGAGCGTTGTACGTATCCATCTTGAATTACAGGCCGCAAAGATCGACCACCGAAACACCAAAGCTTCACGCTAGACACAATTCGGCGTCCAAATCCCGCCTCGGTCTTAGTTGCATGGCTGCCTGCACATTAATGCGCATGAGCGGCAGCTCCTCCCCGAACCTCTGCTTCGGGCATGCATTCGCTAAAATTTCCCTCTTCGGTCGTCGGATATAACTCCGACGGATTTCTTTTCCCTGCGGGGACACGTTAAAGCAAATCTCGTGGCAAGACCTCAAGCAGCTGTGACTACGGTCGATGCCAGCATGTAAATGCATGTTCGAGTGAATGCCGCGAGGCGCGCTGCCGTCTGCCGTTGAAATGTACGATGGCTGCCTTGAACACGTTTTGTATCACTACGAGGCAACCGTGGTTTGATCATTTGATAGCTAGCGCCATTTGACGGTGACGTGTATCGTGAAAACTAAACGCCGCAAGACGTATGTTGTGTGGTATTTACGACTTGTTTGAACAAGGAATTTTCTTTTTAAATAAACTTCTGTTGGCCAAATGTTTTATCTTAGGTGACACGAACATAATTTTTCAAGACACACATTCTTCATGCAGATTATAATAATACCGTCCGAAACATGAACACGAAAACGCTTATACTAAACAATCTAAAATTCTAAAAGTGGTCTGAATCTTGCGACTAGAACTGCAGAATAGGTTATCTACAATACAAAATTGGCATAAGAACTCTCAGAAGATTCTGCTCATGACAAAAGCGACTACAAGTCACGAAACATTCTTAAGAAAAATTAACTTTGAGTCGACAACGGGAAATAGGATAAAGGATGACATTTTTAAATGTCCCCTCCAAAAATATTCCCCTCCGAACTGTAATGTAGCGTGTTTAATACCACGTTAACCCCCAATAATTTAATACAAAGTAACTAGGCCAAGGCGAGGAATTTAGATAATATTAAAAATTTTAATAGGAAGTTAAAACTTCATACTGAACGACAGACGATCACCACTAAGAAGTGGTTTTTAGTGACACCGCCAAATTCTTTAAGAAACACATTTCCTAATCTTCCTGTGGCTCTACAACCCATTTGTGGGTCTTCGCCACCCTCCATTCGGAGGTTTATTTGTCTTTCGAAGTGTGCATTTACGAGTAGTGAGTGACCAGCCCACGGCCTCTGCACAATTTCTACTCAATCCTGATTTGACTGCCATCTAGTAGTGAATCAGGAGAGACTTGGTTGAGAAATGGCCGCTGAATTTTGCTTACGAAACATCTCGTAAGGTTCTTTTACATGCCCCTCCGAGGGAAGTTATGCCACGGATTTTTACCACCCTTAAAAATCCATCGACCTCGGCCGGGATCGAACCCGCGAACCTTAGGTCCAGTGGCGAGCACACTAACCATTAGGGTGACTTAAGAAACACACGGAGATCATTAATTAACAGATTAGAACAAATCTGATTTCAGTTAAAAAATGTCTTTGTGTTTTTAATTGTAGTTTTCTGATAAAACACAGTCAAAAGCTCGTGTTTTAGTATAGAATTACTTGTTATGAAATTGTTAAGTAAAGTGGTTCTTAAGACTGTCTATTCTGATATAAAACTGAAATGGCCAGACAATTATTTGATTACTTATAATTGTAAGGAATATTACACGTATTTACATTCTCTGCGAGCATTAAATTCATATTCGGAAATTTATTATGATATTGTTAATATATGCTCTCGGACTTATGGAAGTTGCAGTATATATTTCAGTGTTTATTTTAAGAATATATAAAATGTATACGACAGCAAAGATGTTAGATTTCGTAGAAAATAAAGCTGAAGAATGTTTGTAATGAAGAAATGGTCACTGTAAATTCACACTGATATATTACCATTGTGAAACGTCATAAAAATTCAAATGATCAAGATTTTGGATCGATACAAACGAAAACTAATCAGACAGAATTAATAAAACTTTAAAGTTGTGTGTGGGCCTAATTTTAAAATCCAAAATAATTTGGGTATGAGGCAAAAAAATTGGTCAAAAAAAATATCCTTAGAACAAATCTACAATAACAGATTGTAAATCACGATTTCTTGAAAACGTAATCTCTATTCGGTATGTCCACAACATGCAAGATTTGGTAGTTGGTTGTATTTGACAGAGTTTAAGATAAACTGTTTATTCTAAAATTGTTTCTTATCGCATGGCACTAACTTCCTCTGAGAGAAATTTTCCATTTACGACGCACAATTCGAAATGACGTTTCGAATTATTATCGGTGGAAAGTGAAGGAAAATGACTGGAAATATTTGTCGAGAAACACGTGAAAACTTGAATAAATGTCAATGGATTATACGTAATATATTACATTATCAAATCTAAAACTTCTTGACGATGGTGAAGAGTCAATTGAATAAAAATTTACTTGGATATTATCCATCGTCTAGTAAATATAAAACGTAAAA